GATGGTACGATATGTAAGTAGGAACAAAAACGAGATTTTAAAAAACTAGAGCTCTGTCAAAAAAGTAGTGGTATTCAGGAGGTCATGGGTTCAATTCCCATTGGCCTCATGTACCTACCTGGGCACACTTGGCGCCCATGATGTAGAAATTGCCTGTCAACCACTGGCTGCACACAAGGAGAAAGAACAACGATCCCCAAGTGTACAGAGTCTACAGGGTCTACAGACCGTTGTATAGCCTGCTTGAATCGACAACGCAAAGATATTGTGCACCACCTGATCGGATGCAAGGAATCGACAGAATACTGGGTGAGACCTATCGACTCGTATCGAGTTATGGGCTAACCGATTTCCCTCCTCCTTCCCTGAGCACCCACTTCAATCTTCTCCTCTGGTCTAACCTCCCACCCGAGTTCAGGAAGCCTGGAAGGTTATGGCATGGCATGGAATTGAACCCCAGGCAGAAGGTCTGGGGTTCAATCAGAGACTTTATCGAAGCAGACATCAGGTGCAAATGGTGACAAACTAAGGCACTCATTCACGACAGATCGGACGATTAGCAGAGCATCAAGGTGAGTTCCAATGTCCCTGGCTACTCAATGGCAGGGTAACCACAATCAATGGCCTTCACAACCACAATAAAAAATGTCGCAACCCCCAATGGGCTGGGAAGATCTCAGCAGCAACAGGACCGAATAACAGGTCCAGGCGCCTGGTTTACCCTTCAGATATCGCCAAACAGAGCTGCCCGGTAAACTCTAGGCAGAGAGGGAGAAGACGACAAGAAACGAGGGGCTGTGACAAACTGTTTCGTCGGAGTGCATTCGGAACTTGGACACAGTAATGCATGCATAAGAAGAGCGCCTAAGAGTATCAATAACCCACAGCAGAAACAGGATGCCGGATAGGCCGTATGTTTCACCTTCTGATGATCTAGGGTTTCACATACTCCAGGCGGTCTACACTTAAAGCAAACTATTCGGAACTTGAAGCGAAATGCGGCTGATCTGATAGTCAATCCTCCAATATGTAAGGGAGGGATAAGCTAGCGTTCAGGACATTAGAAACAGAGAAGACGAGCAGCTCACTGGATTTCTCAACTTAGCGGCTGATATCATTATCAGGACGATAAGATAGGGTACCTAGGGTTCAGGGTTGAAGTCCAGGGGGGATGAGGTACAGGATTTCTTTAAGCATAGGAAACTCGGGTTCAGGTCCGAGGGGGTCCTGTCAAAAGCATAACACTGGGTAAGGCTCCCAGATCCAGTCTTCATGTGGGGTGGACGGCCCCTCCTGGGTTAGTAATGGAAAAAAAAAAAAAAAAATCCTCCAACATGGAGTAATCAATGCTGTTCAGAGGGTCCTTCGGCATCAACGAAAGGAAAAATTTGCTGCAAATGTTCGAGTACAAGTGCGACGTGGCGGCGGAAATGAACTGGAACGATGATCCCCAGAATAGAATGAAGCCCGGACCATAAGGTGCTCTTTAACAAAAAGAAAAGAAAGAAAAAGAGATAGATCATAGAAGTTCATAGCCTGGTGGCTCAGTGGTTGGGCACCGGCTGGAAATGCGCATTGTGGTATGAGGTTGCCGGTTCAAAACTCTGCGGCCTCGTGCACATCCACCGTTAGGCGTTTTCATAGCGCCCAGCCATTCGCACACCCCCCTTGGGACGACACATGGTAAGTTTATACAGACACTGCCTGCGCACCGCCCAAGGGGTCCTCGTCCACGGTTGTTGTATGCTGGAATGGGCTTGGGGGAGGAGGTCTGCTCGGGGTTTAGTTTGCTCGTTGTCCCGATAATCTCAGGTCTCTTCTGGTCGTCAGTCCATGGGGAGGTAAGGGTGTGGGGGGGTGGGGGGGGTGGGGGGGGTGGGGGGGGTCCAAAGGACACATATATGAACCTGTGCAGTGCATTCAGATGTTAGTTGATCGCTTGGGGTATTACACAGGGCTATCTTGTCTGTGGAAGTTCTTCCCGTGGTATCTAGTCGCAGATATGGTCGTGCACCTATAGACGGACCCTGCTAGAATTTAAGGGACTGCTCATAATAGCATTCTGTATGGTATTGAATGAGCATTGAAGAACCCCCATTCGAACCCTGCTTGAACCTCGCTGGCATATAGTATTGTATGCGGGCCGAGAGAACCCTAGGTCTGCTACGCCCTGCCTCTCCCTAGGGAGGTCTCTGTCTAGACGTCTGGGTACCATGGGGTTTACCGGTTAGAGGGGGGCCTCCATACTGGAGAGGAGTGGCACAGTGGGTAGTGTGTCTAGGTGTGTTCCCCCTCGTGTGTGTCTCTAACCACGGGCGTAAAAAGGCTGTCTTATCTCTGGGGGTGTGTACAGGAACCTTCTGGTAGGTAGGGCCGAATGGTTCGGGTTGCTTAATGGGTAGTTCACCACTCAAGAGGAGTAGTTGACTCACACGCAATCGGCCTCATGGGCCACCCACGGAGACCGCATCGGTGCGTGGGAAATCACATTGTAGGTAGAAATACTACCTGGGGTAGTCCAAGTAGTTAGAGTCTGCCTGATGACCAGCACATGCGAGTCCATGCTTGTCTCATGGATTAGGAACACCTGGCTGGCTGCTCGTCTCTAGGCAGCATAAAGACACTGGGGTACTCTCATAGCCCCGTCATCAGGGTCCTCGGGCCTACCAGGGACCAAGCAAGGGTAGGCTAGGAGATGGGTATAGGGGCTGGAGGGACTACAGGAGAGGACACCAATAAAGTGTAGCTCAGGTAGGACTTGTACTGAGCCTGTCTCCTGAGTACTGGGTAGGATATCTAGATTAGGGGGGGTATGTACTGTACATTAATAGGAGAGAGATAGGCCCTCTACGCCTGTCCGAGGGGGGATCGGCTAGGGATCTGCTAAGTCAATGGTTGGGGGACAAAGCTGCTTAGAGTGGGGCCTGCAATACATCCAGTTGGAGGTTGGATCTGTAGGGACAGAATCTGATCTCTGGTGGCAAGCTGTATGGTGTGGAAGGGACACGACTAGAGACCTCCATCTAGGATGGGCCAGAGGACCACGTGGGTCATTCTGAACTTTGAGTGTCTGATACTCTGCCTCACAACAACCTGGGCGTTAAAAAAAAAAAAAAAAAAAAAAGGAAGTTCACAGAACGCAGTATGGTCGGCACTCCTTGGCCTGACAGGCGTGAAACTGTTAGGTTCCGTGCTCCAGGGTCGGGAAAACAAACAGGTTTAAACTTTAAAGTTTAAACCACAAGTACCACAAGTACATGGCCCCACCCTTGCGGAAATTTGTTCGTCGCCTACTCCGAAAATTCCACGGCTCTGGCCTACCGGATCACAATGGCTGGTGGGACCAGCCAAAAGAAAAGAAGTGCGCGGCTCGGGCCTACCGCATCAGAGCACCTTCTCCAGGCCTGGGTGTACTGGTGGCTTAAACCACCACTACCTCCACCAGTGTTGGGGAAAATGGGAAAAGTGGCTGTTTTCCCCCTTTTTCCGAAATTTTCGGGGGTTTGACGAGGCTCCGCAGTTGTGCCTTGAGGGTTCCTTAGAAAAACAAAAGATCATGTCGCGGCAGGCCGTGCACCAAGTTGTCCTCACACCAAACTCATGTGTTCGTATCTAACCGCTATAGTGGCCACTTTCAGGTTATCATTGTCTGTGTTTTTTTTTTTTTTTTTTTTTTTTTTTTTGTTTCCCCGCCAGGGAGGCACGGCGCGGTCCACGGGCTGCTGACACCTGTCTCTTATACACATCTAGATGTGTATAAGAGACAGAGTTTGTAGGGAGTGATAAGATAAATGACTGATGCACAGAAGAGAGGTTTCATAGGGAATGGTTATGGAATGGTTTGAACAAATGTTACTCAGGACTAAGAGTGCTACTGAGACCAGAGAAGGATTTTCAGATCATGATAACAATTTGTAGAGGTTTGGAGACAAAAGGGAGTGAGCGTTCCGTTCGGGCCAGGTAGGCTCATAGCATCCATCTGCTATCCGTTATGACAGCAATACCGAACTCATCCAAAAATTAGAACACGAAACTTTGACTGACTAGAATGTGCAGCTTAAGAGCCCACTGGCCTTCCGCAAAGGGGCTTCCACTGAGACGATCAGCTGCATCACAGTTCAGAGACTCCTGAGAAGAAAGTATGTTGTTAGCAAACTGCACAAACCATCTGATCTGGAGCGGCAATGATGTCGTGTTCTTTATATCTAGGCTGTTTGTCCGGACACCCAACTTGTGCCCGGACGCACACCCGGATGTTTGGCCAGGCATGAACCACGGATAGGGTTCTGGGCAGTCCCAGCTCCCCCCCCCCCAAAAAAAAAGGGGAAAAAAATCAAACAAATGCCAGGAAAACGAAATGTTGTGTAGAATTGCAATACAACCGACTTTAGGCTGAGGGTCACATCAGAATTCCTCACGGAATCGAAGATAAGAAATAAAGCAACAGAATCGCAGTAAGGCACCCCCCTTTAAGCCCCTATAGCCCCTTAAAAACCAATTTATACTCCCCTTGCCCCCCCTTTGACAGCCAACAATCACAAAAAGAAGGTAGCCCAGATTTGGGCTCCTCTGGCCATTCTCAGAAAACCTCCAAGGCTCCCCCCCCCCCACCGTGCAGGTGACGCCCGGGCAACCTGCCCGGGTCGCACAACCTGCCCGGGTCACACAACCTGCCCGGGTCGCACAACCAGGCGAGCCAAGTAGCTTAAGCTTTGTATACCAACATTAACAATTTCCGCGGCGAAGTTACACTCCATTACTTTTCAGAGAGCTATTTCGTCTACACACGTGACAATTCATAGTGTAGAAGGTTTCTGTAGCGTGTTATTATTTCTGCCTTCTGTTGATTAGAATGGATCCGTTGCTCCATTTTACCAAGCCGCAAGTATCATTTTACTTTGAACACAAGATGCGTAGCATTCCAAACTGCACAGGAGCTATAGCTACATAATTCCGAAGGATGGCAGGGAGCAGTGAAAATCGTTCACTCGAACAAATACCTTCCTCATCTTCATCTCGCACATCGCATGTGAAGTCGCCTGTATACTCCAGCTCGCAACTTCGATTCCTTCCGGTTTCAGATCCAGGGACAGCTCCCACACTGTCTTTGTCATTGCCCAACTGTCGAACAGAATCTCCTCCTCCACTGAAACTGTGCCGTCGTCGACCACTCCACTCCCTCCTCCTCACCACTTCACGCATTGGGAAATGTGCTGTTCCTGTCCAATCATCTTCCTCCACATGCCATCCAATTGCATCTGCTCGCACAGTTGATTCGCTTCCATTTGAATCTTCAATACTTAGCCGCCCATTATATCTTTCGGACAATGCATCCCCATCGGCTTCCACATCACCCTCCACCTTCCGAGCATCGTCATTGTTTACAAAATGTGGGAAGGAACCTTCGCTCCTCAAAATCCTGGGCGATGCTGAAAACCGAGGAAGAGTCTCCGAAAGTGCTCCCCTCGATCGTTCACTGCCAAGATGTTCGTTTGCTGCGTTGCTCCCGTGTTCTTGCATGAGAGCCTCATACTTCGTACAAGCCGATCTGACAGACAGAACAAAACTCAAGTGTCACTCTTAACAACACATGCACATGTAACCTACAGAGGACAATCACAGCAACACCAACCACCACACTCCCCTGGACAATGTACATGTGGCCATGCCTGACAGTTAGGACAAGGCCTAGAGATGCTATATTCATGCTATTCCCCTGGGCAATGTACAGGTGGCCATGCCTGACAGTTAGGACAAGACCTAGAGGTGCTATATTCATGCTAACAAAGCAGGAAACTGGCGTGCTCGGTTCCAGGCACCAGTGGCACCTGTCCCTACCTCTTGCATGAGGCCCTCATACTTCCTACAAGCCGATCGGACAGAGAGAACAAAACTAAAGTGTCATCTTAACAACACATGCGCATGTCGTCCACCCACAGCAATTGTGTGGTAGATAACTTAACAGAGGATAATCACAGCAACACCAACAGAGGATAATCACAGCAACACCAACCACCACGTTCCCCTGGCCAATGTACATGCAGGAGCAGGCGTACAGGTGCTATATTCACGCTACGAAAGCAGGAAACTGGCGTTCATGGTTTCCAAGCACCAGTGGGACCCTTCCCTACCTCCCACTATTGGTACATTTCTAACACGCCTCGCAGGGGTTTTAGGGTTGCAAACCACCTTCAGCACCTAGGAACATAAAGGGGGGGTGCAAACAATTGCAGCTTGAGATTTCCATATTATATTTAGAACTGCTGTTTGTTGGTCTGATTTACTTAAGATTCCTGCATCTGTGTGTCATGCTGTGTTAGTCCTCTTTCACAGCGGACTCCTTAGACGGTGCCAACAACGGACGCTTTGCTTTTGTCGGTGGCTGTTTCTGGTTTTGTCTGGAATGATGGCATCTTAGGGTGTGACGTTCAGATGGTGGGTCGTGATGGGTTTGCTGTTGTGAGTGACGATTGAGACTCTGTGTCTCCGCTTGTGTGTGAGATGGTAGCTCTGTTGTTTCTCCTCCTGGGTAAGACAGTAAGTAGACATAGTTACACGGATAGGACTGAAATCTGGACTGTGGACGGACAGACCACCAGTCCCTCTGAGCCTCCTTTGACCCATCCTGATTTCTGCTGCACGCCAAAGGAAATACGAACTGGCCAGGTGCTAAGTATTTTGTTTTTTGCCTTGCATCACCAGGCTTTTCCTTCCAGTAGGCTAAGACACTGTTAATGCTGTGGGTTAACCACTGCATGAACAATTCAAACGACAAAGCCCAGGTGAACGGCATCCTCTCGAAATCATATGCCACTAGATGACCTTTTGCAACTTCACTACAGAGAAAGCACCATAGGTCGATCACTGAATAGAGTTTTCTGGGAAAGAGGCATGCGAACAGTGCAATCAGAGAGGAGGGAGGATTTCCAACACCGGGGCCAAGTGGAGGCATGTGGAGGCAGGGTGGCCGAGATGGCAACAGCAAGTTGGTGGAGTAGGGG